AAATTGTCATGAGAGACTTAAGCTAAGGTGTTCCTACCAGAACGTTCGTGGTCTCAATTCTAAGACGGTGTCATTCTTCAATGCAGTCAGTGACTACGAATTTGATTTAATTTGCTTGACTGAGACGTGGCTGTCTCTGAATGTGAGTGATAGTGAATTATTTCCGGCTGAATACTGTGTGTTCAGATTTGATCGTGACTTTATTCGATCTGGCCTAGTTTGCGGCGGAGGAGTCCTGATAGCCATAAAACGCGATTTCCATGCAATTAGAATTGACGCTAGTGCTTTGAGTCGAAACTTTCCGTCGATTGATACTGTATGTATTAGGCTTATTATTAACCATGAGCATTTTGTTATCTTTTCTATTTATATTCCGCCTTCAATTAATTTGGACATGTTTGGTCAGTACCTTGAAGCTTTGGAAGTATTTAACAATGCATTCAGTAATTGTAAAATAATTGTTGCTGGTGACTTTAATGTCGCATCATTCAACAGTGATGTTAATGATCAGAAGTCTCAATTAATGAGCAACTTTATTTCGTTTTTAGATTTAACTAACTTTAATAATATTCCAAATATAAATGGTCGAATGCTGGATTTAATTTTAGGAAATATCGAAATAGAAGTCCTCAGAGATAATACACCTTCTGTTAAAGAGGATGTTCATCATCCTGCACTGATCATGGAATTCATTACATCCGGATCTCCAACGAAATTCCCATTTGCTAATTCTCCACGGTTTAACTTTCGCAAAGCTAACTTTCCTGAAATGTACACAGCCTTGCAAGATGTTAATTGGACGGAGGTGATCAGTGCAGTTAATGTTGATGTCGCTTGTACCGCATTGTATTCAGTTATCAATAACATCTTTGAGGTCCGTGTCCCTAAATGTAAAAATAAAATGTTTTCGTATCCATCGTATCCCATGGTTCACACGTGAAATTATACTTAATATCAAGAAGAAGGACATAGCAAGAAGGAACTGGAAACGTGACGGTACCAAGTTTTCTTATGATCAGTTCAGTAATTTTAGGAAGCTCATTAAGAACCAGATCAGTGTTGCCTACTCCGCTTATCCAATCTGCTGAGGATGCCATTGTCAATGATCCTAGCAAATTCTGGTCATTTGCCCAGATCAAAAAACAGCAATCTAGAATCCCCCCAAGGATGACGCTTAACGGCAATGTCTGCGATACGCCTCAGGATATAGTGGACAGTTTTGCTACCTTCTTTTCAACAGTTTTTATCCCGTCTGGTCTACTAGGGTCATCTGCTCGAACAAATAATTCTACCGATATCATTTCTTTAAAAAATATAAGTGAAGAAAACGTAATTAGGGCTTCGAAAAGATTAAAGAACAAAATGACGTCTGGATGTGATGGTATTCCAAGTTTTTTCGTTAAAGATTGCATTCATATACTAGCGAAACCGCTGGCTTCCATATTCAACCTAATTCTAAAATCAGAGACATATCCAAATATCTGGAAGACCTCTAAAATATGTCCTATTCACAAAAGTGGAGATATCTCTGATATTTCCAACTATCGCCAAATAGCAATCCTGTGCAATTTCAGCAAGTTGTTTGAGATCATCGCTTATGAAACGGTTTACTGCTCGGTCAGGGGTGCAGTCTCTATTAATGAGCATGGGTCTATGAGAGGCAGATCTACGGTCACCAACTTGGCTCTAATTACTCAATACATTTCTGAAGTACTGGACGGTCAGGGACAAGTTGATGTCATCTACACAGATATTCAGAAGGCTTTTGATCAAGTTGATCATTATGCACTTCTGGATAAGCTTAAAACAGTGGGTATGTCTGATGCAATGCTGTCGCTCATGAATTCATATTTGAGGGATAGAAGGTTATTTGTCGAATATGGTGGTCATAGGTCGAGTTACTATCGGCTCACGTCTGGGGTACCTCAAGGGTCAAATCTAGGTCCATTATTGTTTTTAATATTTATTAATGACTTGTCTTTTGAACTGAAGTGTTTCCATTTGTTTTTCGCTGATGACCTTAAAATCTGCACGTCAGTCAAGACAGTCGAGGATTGCGTAATGTTGCAAGATGACAGCTCTAATTTCGTCATGGTATTCACGAAACTGTCTCAGTCTGAATGTTTCGAAATGTAAAGTTATGACTTATACAAGAAATGTGAACTATTTAATTTATGATAATTATTACATCAATGGTCAGGTTATAGACAGATGCACCTCTTATAGAGACCTTGGAGTCATTTTTGATACCAAGCTAACGTTTACTGAGCATATACTCAATAACTCGTCGGCTGCCACTCGACTACTTGGTTTCTGTATCAGAAACTGGAAGGGTTTCTCCAATGTTGATACATTAATGACTTTATTTTTTACTTTTGTCAGGAGCAAGTTGGAGTATGCGACTCTGATCTGGTCTCCTATATACCAAAATTCTGTCGTGATCCTTGAGGCCATTCAACGTAAAGCTTTAAAGTATTTTCACCTTAAATGCACAGGTTCTTATCCAGAAAGAGGTTGTGACCATAGTGCCCTATTAGAGTCTTTCAATTTGGATTCACTGTCAACAAGACGAAACATATTTGCTTTGCCGTTTTTGTATGGCCTCATTCACAATAAAATTGACTGTCAAAATTTACTTGAAAAAATATGTTTCCGCGTTCCAAGGCTAGGGAGTCGACAACAAATGACATTCTATTGTCAAGCTGGCCGTACAAATGTTATGACAAAATCGCCAAATAATCTGATGTGCTGCGTCATGAACAGTGTTACTGAATCGTGTGATATTTACAGTGACAGTTGTGCATCGATTATTAACTGTTATAGATCATCCAATCTTATTTAGAATGTGTGATGCTATAGATTTAAGTCCAAGAACCATGTCTCTTTAATTGTTATTTTTTTCAGCGTTTCCTGTAATTGGGTTTCACCTGTTGGAAATAAATAAATAAAATAAAAGAAAGAAAGTTGGTTGAGTAGCAAGATCGCATCTGGATGATTATGTGTATTGCTCTGCATGTGTATGAAATCAGTGATATTTGCTAAGTGAGAAAATTATTACTGAATATGCTGCAAATGAAGTATATCTATTCGCTGCATATGTAATTTCCAGACTAAAAAGAAAAATGTGCAACTAATTTCTAGATTTGAATACATCTCAAGTAAATATATTTGACACCAGAAACCAATGTAATTATCATCAACACAGATTATTATATGCACCTATGCACTACCGTTTAGTTCTAGCTATGACTTACAGCTTAGACCTCCAATAATGCCATCTCTGAAGCAGAGCCAAACATTGGTACCTAGTTGAAGCATCATGACGTTTAGGCAACATGTACAGCTACAAAACGAGTTCACAGCAAGTGTACAACAGCTAGTGCTAAATTAACATCTTGTAGAAAAAAACGACAAAATGTCACTTTTCAAGATACGTAATACCCGTGCGACATTTCATAGGTTTTTTGTGATATAACGTTGGTTTTTCTAAAAGATGTTAACTTAGCACAAGCTGTTGTACACTTGTTGTGAACTCTTTTTGTAGCTGTACGTGTTGCTTAAACGTCAGCGAACAGCGATCATAGCGAGCAAACGTAGAATGAATTATTTGCACACTAAAAACTATCTAATCTGCAAGATGACACTTCGTCGGTTTTTTGACGCTTTTTAGGTTTTTTTTACATAATACCGCTGCCGGTACTACAATCACGCAAGACAGTTCCGTGAAGATCCCCGTGTGCATCACATCGCGCTAACAACGTTAATTCAATTTGTAGTTATTTAGTGTATTGAAGATATCCGTTGTTACTGGACCATCTACCATCTTTCTACCTTCAGAAGCACCCGACACACTAAATAATCAACAATTGTTTCGGGAATCTCAACATGTATCCTGCTTGTTAACACATCTTGCCCTCGAGGGGAAACCCACTCTGTAGCACTGGCAATCATCCGCTTCTAAGCAGGTGGACAAATTCAATGTACTTCAAATATCGCTTAATTATTTTTATTTACAGTCTAAATTGCTTTAGAATGACGCCTTCAACCTTATTTTATGCTTGAGAGCTCTAAACTTGGTATCAATAAAAAACTCTAATAAATAGGTACGCGCAGCGCCACCTTCAACTAAGTTAGTTGAAGGTGGCGCTGGTACGCGTTAATTTGAAAATATGGAAGCGCAACTCAATTGGCTTGACTTCACTATTTGCAACCTGTGACCAGCCAATCCGTTGTTGATTACTCAGTCCTATTTGAAATGGCAGGCGTTTGTTCTCACTGTCATTGACTGTCAAGCTGTCACCTTGATGCTCCAGCTTTTCAATATAATTTGTAGTAATAAACATAACCTATAAATAAGTAATTTGTAAATGAATGGTACGGTTTTTTCACGAGAACCCATTACGGTAAAATGCAGCTAATTATCTAATAATATTTCAAAATTCCCCATATCCGCAAAGGACACATAATTCTGACGGATCCGTCAATGCCAGGTAGGCAGAGCCATATCTTGTATTCATCTTTTTTACACTACAGATTTATTTTGTACTTGCTAAAAGCTCTTTTATTTAGAAAAGTCCATTTGCAAACAAAACACAAAACGCTACAAACAAGTTTTACTAGATTTACACCCGACGCATTATTGCCAACGTTGCAGACTAAGACAAAAAAGTCACTTGCTGATCAGCTGTTCACTTCAGTAGACGGGTAGACGCCAAAGCGTGATGGATATTCGTGAAATAAACCCTATTTCATGGGTATCCATCACGGTAGAATGACAGCTGGTTATTCAGTAATATTTCAAAATTCCCCATATGGATAAAGGACATAATTCTGATGGATCCGTCAATCCCAGGTAGACAGAGCCATATTTTGTTTTGGTTTTCTGTACGCTGCAGATTCATTTTGTACTTGCAAAAAGCTCTTTTATTTAGAAAATTACATTTGCATACAAAAACAAAACGCTACAAACAATTTTCTGCTAGATTTACAACGTTGCAGACTAACACAAAAATGTCACTAGCTGATCAGCTGATCACCTCAGTAGACTTCAAAGCGTGATGGATCCTCGTAAAATAGGGTGTAGGGTATATGGCAAAACTCGACAGCAACCTAACCAAAAATACAATCAAATGAAAAAATAATTATGTTATGACGTCACAGCGACGCGGGTAAAATCAACACTTGCACTGGCACTGTACTTTTAGATATTTAATTAAAAGTAAATATAGACATTTACCTGGATTAAATATATGTTTACATAAATAATCGACATTTTTGCCCTAATGTTTTTCCTCTTTTTTTGGCCCCTAGTTTTAGGGTTTTGGTGCTTACCAAGCAAGCACAGCATTTAACAAAAAAAATCAGACAATCTGTAACAATTTATCTTTTTTTTCATTCAGCATACAGACCCAGACTACTCTTGTGCCTATGTAACAATAGAAATTCAAGCAGGAATTGAAGGATACGGCTTAACATTCACATTAGGCAGAGGTACAGAAATTGTGGTCCAGGCAGTCAAAACGTTGAGTTCGCTGATTGTAGGCCAAGTGGTAACAGATATTTACAAGGAGTTTGGAACTTTTTGGAGAACACTCACCAGTGAAAGTCAACTTAGATGGGTAAGATAGCTTATATGGCGTTTTGGTAGTTAAAATAATAAATATTTATTTGATAAAATGACTGGCTCGCGAAGGTATTGGGTGCTTTCGGTTTCTATTATTTGAGCAATAAACATCAAATAAATTTTGCATTTTGATCCTGCGAAATTCTAGTATTCTACTGAAAATTATATTTTGGCAACCATTCCTCGATATCACATTTATCCTGTAGTATGTGTGTAGTTCCTGCTTTTGTTCGCCGTTTAATGAAAGAAAAGTCGGCTCCAAGAAACATATATACTGAAGAAGGTTTATATCGGGTTTATGCACGACTTAACGTAATCTAATTTAAGGATGAGCTGTTTCTACACCAGTGTCCTCCACATGTTACGCCGCCAGATGGTAACTAGCTAGTGATTTCCAGTCAACCGTTTTGCTGACGTCACACATATTTTTTGACATGATTCGGGTGGTTTCGGTACTCGTCTTACCCTTGGATAGCCCTTTCCATACGGTTTTATGCTCATATTGACGTAATTATAATAAACCTGTGGCGTGTTCCACGACGATTTACGGACCAAAGGGCTTGATTGTAAATGAGTTTCAACCGTTGAAATTAATTTCGACGGCGACTTGTGACGATATATTTTATTCGTTATGATAATTTTGACATCTGATTATATCGATCTTCTATACTCAAATTATCGTGGCAGTGTCAAAATTATCATAGCGTATTGTGTGTGTGTTCGTTTTAGGGTGTGTTTTTCTGTGTTGGACATGTTTTTTTGTGAGATTAATTGAGGCCTAGAGCAAAAAAACGAAAAGCCGCGCTGGCATTGACTCCTAACCATCGACCTTAGTGAAGAGGTACCTGCAGAAGATTCCGGGGCCTGATTCTAAATGAGTTTCGACCGTTGAAATTGATTTCGATTGCGCCTTGTGAATATATACTTGATTGGCTATGATAATTTTGACACTGCTATGATAATTTGAATATAGAAGATCAATATATTCAAATGTCAAAATTATCATAGCGAATCACGAATATCGTCACAAGGTGCCATCGAAATCAATTTCAACGGTCGAAACTCATTTAGAATCAAGCCCCTGAACGCAATCCGACATCGCCAGAGGAGCGCCTAAAGGTCTATTTACACTCAGCCATGACGTGACAGTGCCGTGACGTGCCAGTGATTCTCGCTGACGTGAGATCACAGTGTTTTCAATTCACACCGGTCAGTATTTTCCTCCGTGCTCTGACAGTGCAGTTGTGTTCACGTGAGGTCGAGATGTTAAAATTTTCAGCGGATGAACTTGCAATTATTGCATTAATTCTGGATTTCTCTTATTTTATACTCCAAGTACCACGAATGCCTAAGGCCTAAACACCCATGTTGTACCGTGGTACTATAGGGGGAAACACAGGGGAAAGGTGAGACGCCACACGGACTCTGGCGAGGGAACACGTGTACATGAAACATGCACACATTCTGGCCCCGCCTACGACATTCGCCGGTTGGTAACTCCACGTTCGTCAGTCAGAGACCGTCTACCACCTACGAACGATGAAGAAGAAGAAGAAGAAACGAGAAGAAAACGGAAGTCCTATTTTGAATTAGACTGGTTCTACAGCACGGGATACTCGTACAAATTCAATTAGTTTTTCATCATTCACGTTGTTGAACAATTACAGGTATATAAAAACATTCACGAAATTACTTAAAAACACGGATAAACGAAAAATATCGTTCCAAAATAATGCGATGATCACGGTACCGCGTCGTCGAGGGCACTCAGAACATGGCCACTTCCACGTGCCGGTCTAGTGTGAATCAGTTCATCCAAATTCCAGGAAGAATGTTTTTAGTTTTGCCGGACGGATCACGTGCCGGTCACAGCACTGTCACGTCACGGCTGAGTATGAATAGGCCTTTATGATGACGTTGCTGTGAGTATTCAAATCAGCACATTTTTACATGAATGGCTGAACATATTGAGGTTAATTCAAGGTCACTTCTTAAAATAAAGTTCCATATATTAGCGTGAAGGTACTTTGTTGCTAACTATGAACCAGGTGTACACCTGGCCAATGCTGTTTATTCGCAGCCCACCAAATAAGTAATCTCTTTTGTTGTTTATTGAGGTAAATAGATGTACTGTTGGTAATAACAAATCTGGTAAAACCCAGGACCAAATTAAGTACTGGTTTTTGGTATCACCGTGAAAATTTGTTTACACGTACAAGCTTTCTCTGACTGAGTATTATGGCAATCAAATTTATACTGCTAGACTGGGAATTTATACATATGTACAGAGCAGTATCATCTAAAGGGGCGTGGTGAGATGTCTATGTTTCTGTTTACTGTTAGCTGACCAAATATGACAGTAATACAGGGTGGCGCAGAGGAAACGCATGATTTTCACGTCAGCATAACGTTTTTTATGTTTGTGTAAGATAATTTTATTTTAACTACAGCTAAATAAAGCAATAATAGTGCACTTTTAAGTTAATTATGCCGCTCTTGAAAATTGTGCATTACTCGTAGGATCATTTCTTGTGGTATTCTTGCGAGTTCTTGACGAATAGCAATTTTCAGTTCCTGTAACGTACGGGGTTTGTGAGGGTACACTTTAGCCTCAAGGTAACCCCACAAAAAGAAGTCACATACAGACGAATCTGGGGGGTGTGGAGGCCAAGGAACATCGCCGAAACGGGAAATCACATGTTCAGGAAACATTTGTCGAACACATTCCATTGATGCTCTCGCTGTGTGAGCTGTGGGACCGTCTTGTTGGAAGTACAATTCACCCATGTTTACTTGTTGCCGTTGAAGTTCGGATAACATAAATTCTTGTAACGTGTGTAGGATACGAAAGAGATATGATAATAGCAATATAACGATAAACGTGAAAACATCTCATCTTAGAAGATTTAGAAGTACCGCCCCATACCATTTCATTTTCACTACATGGACAGTACGTAAACAATTCGATATGGCCAACAATGACAGGGTAATATTGAATCACTTACTTGGTGCCAAAGACCGGGCTATCACGCTGGCCAAGGGCCGTTGTGTCAATACCCCAAAGCTCCGACGTTACCCCTGAATCAGAGGTAACCGAGCAATATGGCTATCATTAAAGTAACAAAGTAACAATCCCTTCACACATCCTGCCATGAGATACATTCAGACTCCAGCGATTGCCAAGAGAAGATAGTTAGCGGTCATTTAGACCAAGGACGTCACTTCGGCCAAAGGCCACCGTGTCAACATCCAAAGCGCTCCGACGTTTCCCCTGGTAGAGGAAACCGAGCAGTAAGTAACATAACTACCTCAACCCAGCAAACAGGCTCAGAAAGGCCCATAACAACTGCCAGAACCTGGAGGCGTCCCACCTGCGGATATTCAATAACAGTCTTAAGCCATAAGTTAAATTATGAAGGTAAAAAGTATAGCATCTTTATAAATATGGCTTAAGACATTCATGATCATGAGTATAAAAGTATATATTATGGTTATCAATTCATGCAGTACAGTAGTATAAAGGAAACACTCTGTGATTGCTCACCTTTCAGGTAACCAAAACACTACACCCAATAGCACATCAACACTGTAATCAATTCCTTAAAGTGCACTACTTGGTCTGAGAAGCGATCTCCTCCACGCAATAATTGAACTGCATCGCCAGCCTCGCCCGTATCTTTAAGAAAGTTGATCTTGGGAACAAGTACCCAGAGAAGGAATGGAATGTGTAATATAAACAGGCGTAGCGCTGAGTGACACTAAGCAGCCTTGTGAACCTTCTGGAAAGGTTTTGTGTGCTACAAGGTTGGACTCGCATGCAAAAATGTGATTGCTCACCTTTCAGGTAACCAAAACACTACACCCAATAGCCCATCAACATTGTAATCAAGTCCACAAAGCGCACTACTTGGTCTGAGAAGCGATCTCCTCCACGCAATAATTGAACTGCATTGCCACCCGCACCCGTATCTTTAAGAAAGTTTATCCTGGGAACAAGTACCCAGAGAAGCAATGGAATGAATAATATGAATAGACGTAAGGGCCGTCGCGCTGAGTGTCACTAAGCAGCATTGTGAACCTTCTGGAAAGATTTTGTGTGCTACAGGGTTGAACTCGCATGCAAAAATGTGTTTGAGATATTTCGTAAGCTTACACATGTATACATAACGTGCTGAAGTAACTGTTACTGCTCTTTCTTCCTCCTCAAAAAAGTAAGGACCAATGATACCTAATTTACTAATTCCGCACTACACAGTCAATTTTTCACTATGCAAGGGTCGTTGGTGTAGCTCTCGAAAATGTTAATGTCGCCATGTTTCATAAATAACCATTAACACAATTGCGATACCTTTTAATAGATACTGTTATTATAAAGCTTTGTATTTAATTGATAAGCA